AAACAACAACAACAAAACAAAAAAAAACCTAGTCATTGAAGAATTATCTCCTTAGACAATCAGTCTCACAATTTCATCCTCAATATATATTTCATTTTAGCTTTCATTGTACTTTCACAAAATATACTCCAAAATAGAGTACCACCATATTTTAAATGTAATTTATAAACTGTATGAATACTGTAATTGCTCAGGTATGACTGTATCTATATATAAAACTTACAACACTGTATATAGAATTCCCACTTATAGCCGGTCTGTAGCAAAAACATGTTTGTTTTTATCAAATATTGACCTCTTGGATGACATGGTAAAGAACTGACCGATTTACCCATACAAACTGACCCCCAAGACGTAAGGTCGATATTTCTGTCAAAAGCGATAGAGAAATTAGTGCGTACTCGTAACACACGACACGTTTCGCGTGAAGTGACGATTACGATAAATGTCAATGTCCTATTGAAAACGACCTTCATTATCTGTATGAATAAAAAGGTGAACATAAACATACACCTTTTCAGAAAGAAGTAATATTCCTCGATAAAGCACACTAGTTATAACCACAGACAGGATTAGTATACAGTTAAAGTATGGGGTTGAGGGATATAGCAAGTTTCTGGTGTCCCTTGACCATGCCTATTTCCCTCGGCGAAACCCTCAACCCCATACTTTATCCGTTTTATTATAACGATACACACTGGAGAGATATTTTTAACTAGAACATATTTGTAAACCATAAGCTGTATAACTTCACGTCCCAGCTACCCATTTGATGGCAATGGAGCCAAATGCTTCCGAGTTCGGAAGCAAGCTCCGCCCACCTCGCGCGTCGCTTCCGAGTTCGGTAGCAAGCTGCGCCCACCTCTCGCCTGATTGGCTCGGCGGAAACACTCGAGTGTAGGTGTGTTTTAGTTCCCAGACTAACACGTACACAGGACTCAAACACAGGTAAAAGTGGGGATATATTCGATTTAACCAATAACGTCTATATAGAGTAAATAAAGTAGAGGTATAATAATAGCATCTATGATTATGCAGGTGAAGGTGATTATAACGCAGACGTCTGTTTTAGAATCAGAACTGAGTCTTGGTGATTAATTACACCCCACAACTATGAACGAAACACACATATACACCTCCACCGTCAACATACACACAAGTGACTGCATATCTAACATTTGGTAATATAGAGGCACGGTAGTCTAGTGGTAGGACGCCGGGCTCGTGACCGAAGGGTTGTAGGTTCGAGTCACGGTACAGCACTCAATTGTATCTTGTAAATGAGTACGTGGTTGGGCAGTGCTATAATTGTTGAATGCTAGCTGTGAGCGCCGAAATAGCAGTACCGGTTGTATGCTCCCCAGGGAGTTGGCTGGTAGCAAAGGCCCTATAACCACGAATAATAATTTGTGAACCGCTTTGAGACGACCTACGAACTAGGTTATGATAAAGCAGTATATAAGTAAAGATATTGTATGGTTTTCGAGTAACAAGGGATTTATTACACCCGAGCGAAGCGAGGGTGTAATAAGTCCCGAGTAACGAGAAATCATGCAATAACTGGCTTACTGCATGCTTCCCAACTCGAACAAAACAGAAAAATTGAGTAAAAAATGTTCACCTGGACAATCTTTTTACCTACCCTCCACTGCAGATAATTTACATGTACCTGTGTGAGTGAGTACTAATCAGACCCAGGTAAGTTTGTCTTTATTCTCAATAGCCCAGTCTGAGTGTATCCTTCATAATGGATACAAGTGTTTTTGGATTACTATCAACCTCCAGTGTCAGGGAAGGTAAGGAGTGTCTGTTCAACAATTAGAACAAAACACGGGAAACAACGTTGAATTTCTCACTACATTTTCAGTTTAATTTTCAAGATGTGGCAAAGGTACAGGGTATTGAAACCATTTTCATACATACAATGTAAGGGTTTATCGATCCCGAAGGAATTCCATTTCTTTCAATGAATGTTATATTTGAATGTACAATTTTGTATAAAGAAACAGCTCCTAAAGTTTATAAACTTTTCCATGAAATGCTTATCCTGTCACGTGATAAGGAAATCAATAACGCTGCCAACTCAGTCGTTTTGTTTGTTTGTTTTTCAATCATGAAATTACCATTTTGAACTTTATTTTTGTTATTTTTCATATTTTAAATGTGTCAATTAAGTTTATCCTTTCCACTGTATTGACTTCATCGTTACCTTCTTATTGATTATTCCCCCTTTCTTACAGCATTTGTGACCACAGTCCACTGGACACACACCCTTTCATGGTCATGTAATCATGATTGGCCATGAAAGGGGATTATGTGTGCAGTGGACTGTGGTAGCAAGTGATTTATTGCCCACAGTTTTCCATTGTGAGAGGTGGGAAGTATGCAGTAAGAACCTCGAATTATTATTATCATGTAAAGGTTATTGCATGGTTTTCGAGTAACAAGGGATTTATTATTATATTATTATTATATTTGAATGTACAATTTTGTATAAAGGAACAGCTCCTTAAGATTATTAACTTTTCCGGGAAATGCTTATCCTCTCACGTGATAAGGAAATCTTTTTGTGTTTTTCAATCATGAAATTACCATTTTTAACTTTCATTTTTCGCCCTTATTTTAAATGTGTCAACTAAGTTTATCCTTTCCACTGTATTGACTTCATCGTTACTCACTGATTGATTATCTCCCCTTTCGTACAGCATTTGTGGCCACAGTCCACTGGGCACACCCCCTTTCATGGTCATGTAATCATGATTGGCCTTGGAAGGGGATTATGTGTGCATTGGACTGTGGTAGCAAGTGATTTATTGCCCACACTTTTCCATTGTGAGAGGTGGGAAGTATGCAGTAATAATAGATACATTTTGTCTAAAAGGATTAACACTGATTCATACGACTATATCGTCCTTCCAGGACTCATCAGGGATGCTTTGGGCCATAAAACGTTTACACTACGTTTGTAAGGGGAGGTGTTTACACCCCCTAAACCAGGGTAGATTTCCAAAAATATGTTATTATTACTGCCATAACCAACGAAAAAAATACATCAACAGAATATGTTAATAGAAAAAGCAATATCCGATGATATTAAAACGGGGACAGCTGTTATTTTAACCCTTAATACACATTTAAACTCTTCCAATTCAAAGGCTGGAATAGTTCATAATGAAAGTTCTGGGTGAATAAGTTAACAAGGATAGATATCTGATGTATTATAGGTCAGCAGCGATTTCAGTGAAAATGGCATACGACATATGACGTCATACGAAGTCTATGAATATTTAAATAAATTAGTTGGTACCAACTTCCGTTGTTATTTCAACAAAAACAGCCTAAATAATTGGAGATAAATGACCATTCATTACTTATTGACAGATAAAGGGACTTTTGGACTCATAGTTTGTAGTCAGAGACCTAGAAATGATAATTATAAATTGCTGGTAGATAGAAATGATAGAAATGTGAGTGTTCAAGTACATACACGCTTTGGTGTTAAAACGTCAAAGGTAAACCTATTTGTTGACATAGAAATGTCACGACATCGATGAAAGACTGACGTTGTGTTGTAATGGAGTCTGTTTCTGCCATTGTTTATATATTTAATCTTATTTCACGGATGAGTTTCTGTGGGATTTTTGTTTTGCTGTTTTTTTGAGAAGACATTGTCCTCTGTTTCTAGGCGTTAGGCAACCAACAAATCGACAGGTTTTGTGTATTAAAATCAATATCGAGAAATAAGGACATCGAACAGATTAACTGTTAAGAGAAATTTGTCCCAAATATCTCCATATGGATAATGTATCACCTAGGAAATGTAGATACAAGCGATGTATATATTGTCTATAGTTACATATATTGATGGTTGACCAGCTACAAGGGGCCGTGAGGAGGCCAAGTGGTTAAGGCATCTGACATTCTGCTACCACTATCCCTCCACCACTGGGCCGCGATGGCCAAGTGGTTGAGGCATCTGGCATTTGACTGAATTCAATTATCTTTCAGGTATCAATCGAAAACAGATTTTTCCCATAGCCACTTAAAGTTCTCTCACTCCATACTCATTAGATAAACCTGCTAGGAGTTGGTAAACATTTTTGGATATTTACTAGTGGTTACCTCTCTTCCCCATTAAGCGCCTTACACACCGTCTATTTTGCATGTCATACACTTTGTATTAATAAAATAAAAATCGGAAATCTAGGGTACCAGCAAAGTATGTTGTATTTGTACGTATTCAGAAAAAGAAATTGTGCATAAAATAACATTTGAAGTAATCGTCACAAGGTATTCTGTCTATACGGTCAGCTAAGGACATATTCAGGACCACATGGATCTCAAATCTCAAAGAAAAAGAAGAAGAACCTTACGGACATTTTAATTGATGGCGTAAAAGTGAAATAAAGTGTATGTCATGTTTTATATTAATATCCCGCAAAAATCTGAATTCATCAAATGACTGAATATCACGTAAAAAAATATAATTATTCAAATATCATTTACAGGTTAAGTGTGGAATAGTAAAGTAACATTATTACAGCTCCGCCTTTAAACAAAACGTTTGTTTACAGCACGACTCTGCTGTAATTTCCAAAATATTTAAACATTAACTAATTACCTTATTATTTAAACATCTTTAAAACAAAATATGGTTATAACATATATACAACAACGGGAAGCTTGGACATTTTAAGATAATGTTTCCTACACTCTCATTCTATCGCTTGTGGTAGTATAGTGACAACACAGAAAAATCATTGCATGAGTTTACCACCATAACATGTAGGCGACACGGACAAGAGCGAGGGGATACCGAAAATAAGGCAAACAACGTCCAAAACCTGAGGCGATATCAGATACCTAGACGGATGTCACTATTCTTAACTCATGACGTGCATTATGTTAAGTCTCACTACATTCGCTTGCATGATACAATTCAGTATTTCCTTGATTATGTAGGTGATTTAGACGCAATATACATGTATATGTATACTTACAAATCGCTATAATGACCGGTAAATGATATCCGTTTGCCTCCTGCACGCTCGACAGACATACTAAAACTGCTGTCACAACCGACTCGTAGTGTGTCTCCGTTCAGTGTTGTTCATCCAACTTCATCATAACTTTGTTGGCGAGGAAACATCTATATTTACATTCGCTTGAAATATTCGGCTTTCATAGATATGGTTATATTATGTTCAGACGAGTTTTTGAAAAAAAAGGAATTTAGAAAGAGTTGTACTTTTGATGTCACGGTGTTAAAGCTTACTTCTTTAACTTTTCGCCACTGTTTCATGTTTCACTCATATCTCCGTAATTCTAAGGTATAATACTGCTATTCAATATTAAAATAGTTATTATTTTGCAGTCAGAAAAAAACCTGAATAAGATTACGAAATATTCAAATATAATTCTCACATCTTCGTTTTCTTAATAGATTATGCTGATTTTTTTTCTTGATTCATGTTAACGCACCGATTTTGAGTTCTTTGTTCGATTTGTTTTGTTTTCTTGTCATCCCACACGTTTATTACAAATAAAAAACATAAATCAATTATAAAACGGCGCTAAATAGATATTCCGTCTTTGCGTATTTCAGAGTTATTCTCTCTTGTGAGCAGGTATTGATTGTTACGTCATTGGTTTGGGAGAGTTACGTCATCAATTCTTGAGAAAACGACGTAATTTTCTCACACAAACCAATGACGTAACAATCAATCCCTGCTCCCAAGAGAAGATAACTCTGCAATACGCAAAGACGGAATACCCTGCTCTTGATTTATAGCGCCACGTTATTGTCTTTTCCAATGAGTTACGCTGAATCACTAAAAAGAGGAAGTGGTGTGATTTAAAGTGAGTTTAAGGCATCTAACCTTTGTGTTTCAACAGTGGTTTAAACCAGTTTTGATTTCCAACTTCCTGGTACCGAGCTTTACCGATAAGTCCAAATTTTGATTTCCAATTCCTGGTACCGAGCTTTACCGTTGAGTCCTAATTTTGATTTCCAACTTCCTGGTACCGAGCTTTACCGATGAGTCCTTAAAGGACTAAAGGACTCATCATAAAACAGCTGTATTACACAGTGTAATTCATATTTACCATACTGTATATATTACCATACTGTATATATTACCATACTCTATATATTACCATACTGTATATATTACCATACTGTATATATCACCATACTGTATATATCAACATACTGTATATATCACCATACTGTATATATCACCATACTGTATATATTACCATACTGTATATATTACCATACTGTATATTACCATACTGTATATATTACCATACTGTATTTATTACCATACCGTATATATTACCATACTGTATATATAACATACTGTACATTACCATACTGTATATATTACCATACTGTATATATTACCATACTGTATATATTACATTGTACCATACTCTATATATCACCATACTCTATATATTACCATACTGTATATATTACGATACTGTATATATTAACATACTGTATATTACCATACTGTATATATTACCATACTGTATTTATTACCATACTGTATATATTACCATACTCTATATATCACCATACTCTATATATTACCATACTCTATATATTACCATACTGTATATATTACCATACTGTATATATCACCATACCGTATATTGTTGTATGTGCCTCCTAGCGATTACACAGGTCTTATTCACATTCTAGAAGGCTACCTCACTGAAATGCCACGCTGAATGTACCAGCACGTTTATCAATCCCGTCACATTATAATAACAACGAATTAACCGTGAAGGCTGAACTTATTGCACGGATTAACAATTACCATTTGTCAGGACTTTGCTATCTCCCTGGAATGAAGCCAAACCCATTATCCTTTGCCAATCCCCGACGTGCAGTAGTGTAAACTGCATGTCACCTAGATAGAGAAAGGAATGCCCAACACAACCGACTCTCCTAAAAGTTAAACAAAAGCTCCACATTAATAAGCTTCCATGAAAAGTACAGAGAATTGTTTTGTTCCTTTTGTCTCTTACGCTGAGTATAGCCCAGGTGACATTGTTTCTGTTTGAAAAACACTTTCACTCAATGAAAAATAGCTTGTATGTTAGCTGAACCCCCAGATCCTCCTAAAGAAAACATGGAACAGAAACATAATTCAGTTATTGTCAAGTATTAATACAAGTCATTGTGACGTAATAATGGTAGGTGAAATACCTACTCCGTTGATGTTATAGCACGTGCATCTTGGTTAACCTTCATAAAAACGCAAGAAAAAACGGTCATAAAAATGTATCCATTGATCAGAAAACAGGTCAGTTTTGGTCAATAGGCAATGGTTATGAGGACCGACACACATTCTACCATATACTAAACGGTAGATGAAAGTTGGTCAAGGGAACTGTATGTAAGTACAAGACAACTATGGTCGAAAACAAATGTCTCGGGCAGCAGGACAGACGTCTATTCGTATGTCGTGCAAGTCAAACCTTTTCCTCTTTTTAAGATAAGGAAAGTTCAAACTCTCGCTCTAATTGTATAAAATATTATTTTCAAAACATCTACACAAAACAGAGCTTTATTTTGACCTGTTTGAACTAAGTAAATTCTTTATAAATTCACAGATACCTTTTGAAGTTAAATCTTAGCGACGCAAGGTGCATTTATGTTGCATCAAGATAAGTATTTGTGTCATTATATAATATTTTTATGATTTTATCGGAACGTTTTACTTGCAAAACTTACTCAACTCGTTTTTGTGTTAACGAAGCGATATCTTCGTTTTGGTTTATTTGCACGTAAGGTACTTTAAAATTGCCATAATTGCTGTTGTTGACAACTATCTCAAGCAGCGTAAATCTTCAAGTATCCATGATGTTTATGAAATGACGTTCAAATACAATGTATGTCAGTTTGATATCTATTGTATCATATTACATGTAGTTGCCTTACAGTACTGAATATCTCTCTTTCCACTTCAGTAAATAGAAGAATCAACCCGTTGAGAAATCCGACACTTGTTTCCATGGTTTTGACATATTTTTTAAATGCCTCTGCCTTGGTTTTACATAGAGCTTTCAATGTTTCACTTTAAGTCGTATTATTTCTAGGAACACAGTAACTGTACCTCTGGTTTTTTTAAACAGTCAGAATACTAACGAAATATTCAAAAAGCATAATTACATCCTAGTTATTGTGATTGCGTAATCTGGTGTTTATCATTTCGTCTGGTTCCTGTTGTGGACGTACCTACAATGTATATTGAGTGCCTTGCTGATGTTTTTCTTTGCATGTCTTTAGCCGCAGATGTTTATACTTAACAGGAGATGAGAATCTAGTAACCAATAACAGGGGGGATTGTCTCGGGCGGAGGGACGGACGTCTGCTCATGCGATGACGGTCGTGCAAGTCACAACAACAACAACAATTCTATGTATTCTTCTTTAAGATTTTGAAATATTAAACTTCTCTCTTTCTCTCCTCCCCTTCCTCTCTCTGACTGGTTTCCCGTAACTCTGTGAACGTCCACCCCTCCCCCGCCCTTCTATCTGTCTCTGTCTCTCTGTCTCTCTGTCTCTCTCTCACGCATAGGACAAGCCCATGACGTCACAGAGTTACGCACTGGAGTCAAAATGGCGGCTTTTTAAGGTATATCAGGAACATCGGCTGTATTCGGCAGTTTCTAACTGCAGATGCTTGCAAGATGTTGGTGCATTCACTTGTTACCTCTCGGTTGGATTATGGTAACGCCCTGCTCTGTGGTATATCTGACAAACTAACTTGTCAACTGCAGAGGGTCCAGAATACTGCAGCACGGATAGTTACTCGTACTCGAAAGAGAGAGCACATCACACCTGCGCTTTATTCGTTGCACTGGTTACCTGTACGACACAGGTCGCAGTACAACATTCTGGTATACACATTCAAACACTGAATGGAACAGCTCCTCAGTACCTACAGGAGCTTGTTACCCTGTATCAGCCGTCACGATCACTGAATGGAACAGCTCCTCAGTACCTACAGGAGCTTGTTACCTGTATCAGCCGTCAAGATCACTGCGGTCGGAGTCAGAATCTTTGTTGTGTGTCCCAAAATCTCGTGTTGTGACTTACGGAAACAGATGCTTTCGGAGGGTTTCGGCTAAGTTGTGGAATAGCTTACCATCTGCTATTAGGAAGTCAAATACCCTGGCCAAGTTCAAGAGGGACATAAAAACTCACCTCTTCACGTCTGCATTTTAGAACATGCAACATGCACTCCTCATAAAATCCGAAGATACGTATCTAAGAGATCACAATACATTCCTCATAAAATACGTACCCAGGTAATCAACATAAAATCCCCAGATACGTGTCCAAGGGTGAACAATATATTCTTGACAACCTATCAAGATACGTAACTTTGTTATTAATTGGCTATTTGTTGTATTAATCATTACACGATAACTATCAATTAACATTAACAAAAAAGCTACGGGGTATTTATGACAAAAAAGATAAATATTGCACCTACCTGTCAATGACGATACCTGGCTTTTCTGCATCTTTCCAAATTTTACGACGTGTGTCAAAATGTACTTTAAAATGTCCCAGCTGGGAATAATGCTCGGTAACGTCTCAAACAGTGTTTACCACCCAACGCCAATCCACGTTATATTACAATAAGCCCATTGAAGTGTTTTAGTCACATTTACGAAATGACAATTTCACGGCGTATATATGTTTATAGATGTATTGATCGGACTGTATAGAAACATAATACACATTCAGACGGACATTTAAAGATTAACGCTCTTCTCAGTTAAAATCATTATTTATATTGATTTCTCCGACGTATTGTTTATCCAAACGTTTCTAATTTTTCAGGAATTCACATTTTAGAAGTTAATATATAATATGAAGTAGAAAAAGACGTACAAAATATGAAAAAAGCTTGCAACTGAAGAGCAGTAAAGACGTATCACAGTTCTGATTGGTGGATCGTACTATGCAACTATTGTAGGCCACCTGCTAAATCGGTGGATCTTTTGTCTTCTCCATAAAAAGGAAATTG